TGTCACGCCCCGAGACTACACCCAGACGTGGCTGGCACTCGAGAATCATTGTTAGCCCCAAACGAACCCTTGGCCTGGCTTACTTACTCAGCGGAAGACTATATGCATATTCATAATGATCAATTACTGTACTCACTTGAATAATAAGATAACTTAAGAATGCTTAAAAGTCAAATATTCAACTTAGCCAAAATGGCAACTCAAGTCTTAATATATGAAATGAAAATGTAAAGACAACTGAACTACTAACTTGTCTGACTGTCTATGAAGCCTCTAAAACAAAGAGGAATGTCGGGACATGACCCCCGATCATCCTAACAACTGAAAACTAGAAAACAAATGATAAAAAGGAGCCCTCCGGAAAGCAAAGAGGCTCACCAATTGACTCTAAATGTTGAACCTAATCAACGAGGCGCTGGATGCTGATCCTGGTTACCTGCGTCTGCATCATAAAATGATGCAAGACAATTGGCATTAGTACATTGAATGTACCAGTATGCGAGTTGGAATGCTAAACATAACACAGGCTTGAAAAGATTCTGAAAGAAACACTTACCTTGCCTCTTCTCAACTCATGAATAACTCAACTCATAATAACGCAATGAAACACATGCAATACATGAAACACTTTATAAAATAGTAAAAGCGACTTAGTTCAAGAAAATGCAATAACAAACTCAACTTTACTCATATAACAAAGTAATATAGTTTCTGTGGGAGTTTTTCTAACCAGCAACCACCACTATGAGCCTAAGTGGTGATACAACGTCTTGCCCACGCTGTCAGAACTGTCCTATACTTTGCCGTCATATAGAACGCTTAACTTAGTGGATCCACTAGTCTATGCTAAAAGCATCTTAAGGAGTCATCTAAAAAGTATGATCCTTTACTACCCATGATGGCTATATGGTTTATAGAGACTTGAGTTAATATGAACTTACATCCCCATATTGGTGCTCAATACTACTCCCAAAATATACTTAGGTCATATGTTTTTAAAACAAACTTATTTCTTTGATTTGAGATAATTACTCGAAACTTAGCTTAAAAGCTCTCTTGGAAATCAGTGTTTCCTTTTCTTGTTCAAGTGTGAAAACATTTTAAACTCTTGGGAATACTTAGTTCCCTTATAGCTTTTTGAGAAATGAACTCAACTGTTTACTCTTTGCTTAACTTGAAACTTAAGTCTTAGAACAAAGTTAAAACATTTGTGAAAGACTTTTGAAAAACATAAATGAACCTCTCTTGACTTGCTTCTTAACTTCTAAACTTGACTCTTAACTTCCTTGAATTGAATTATGGATTCATGGATTGTGATTTGTGATAGGAAAGATCTCATGATTTTTAGGAGTGTTTTTAGACAGCTAAGCATAAGAAAAGATTAAAATTTCACTGTCTGAAGGTGGGTCCGCGACGCGGAGAAGTATTTAAATTTTTGGTTCGAAAATAACTTTTGAGGCAGAATGGTCCGTGACCACTCCGCGATGCAAAACTATTTTTTTTCCCAAATCTGGGGAGCAGGTCTGCGACGCAGAGGCATTGCCCAGATTTGCCCGACGAAAATTCCTTCTTTGTTTTCCAGCTCTAAACCCACTAAACTCCATTGGTTCTTTCCCCAAACACTTAGAATCATTTTTACCCTCAAATAAAATCAGATTCTACTTGAAAACACAACTACAAACGTGAATCAATCTCAAGAAAACTCCAACAACACAACCCACAAGGATTCAAACGAACTTCATCAAGAATTCATGAGATTTACTTTCAAATCAATATACTTTGCTGAAATTGAATCAAGTTGGGCGCGTGGGTGAACTAACCCAACGGTATGTGATCTCACATACCTTGTAGGGATCACCCCAATGAAATTCACGAGCTAAATTTGACGATCTTAATGATTCTTGATTTCTCTTCTCCTTTCTCCTCTTCTCTTTTCTCTTCTCTAAAACCCTAACTCTTTTCCAAAAGCGTAAACTGACTAGGATCAGTTTAGACTCCAATTAATTACCCAAAAATGGAATAAAATAATTAGATAAGGAAAGGACCAAACTACCCTTCAAAAATCCGGATTGGACTTTCCTAAATCCAACAGCCCAACTTCCAAAGGGCATATCTCACTCATACAAACTTAGAATCGTGCAAACTTGGCGGCGTTGGAAAGATCATTCCAAGAGATTTCCTACCATATCTAGAAGTACACCTAACTCATCCTGATCTATGAGTTATGGTCGTTTAAAATTGACCAAAAACTCAACTTAACACACTTAACAAATTTCCAGATTTTTATATTCTTTCCAAAAATGGCTATTTCCAATTTCTAACTTATTCCTAGTTATTTCAAATTGGTGAGATGTTACACTTTCATTGATAGAATAGTATAAAAGGACATACATGTACAAATTTATTGTATCAAGACATTAATACAATTCTCTCCTCTTTCTTTCTCTTCCAAATGCTCTGTAGTTTGTATTGATATTCAACCTCCATTCATGGAGTTATCAAAAGCCCTCCTAAATAACAGTTAATCCATGTTATAGAATACATCTAGCTATCTAGTGGCATCTCCAACCTAATTGGTTGCATACAAAGAAATTTCGTATGGGGATCGATAGACATGAAGGGAAAACTTCGCTTAGTAAAGTGGGACATAATTACTAAGGATAAAGAAGAACAGCGGTGAAGGATCCAAAAGTTTAAATCGAAGAATGAGGCTCTCCTCTCAAATTATATTGGAGATTGATTAAGAAACCATCAAGACTTTGGAAAGCATTTTTGATTAATAAATATATTAGAAAAACAAATAATAATTAAAAAGAGAAACACTTGAAAAGAATCAGCCATACATGGAAAAATATTATAAAAGGTTGAGAACTTTGCAAGGAATGTGCTATTGGGGAGATAGGCAACATGGAAAATATCAGTTTATGATTTAATAAATGGATTCCACACAACATGCCATTCGATAAAATTATTTAGATTTAAGTCACCGACGGTCCCTTAAATTTGTCCACATAGTTCACTTAGACACTTCAACTAGCCCGATTCCACCCGCCTAACCCTTCACTTTTTCTTTTTCCTCCCCTGTCACCCATTATATTCTATTCCTCCTGTGATTATTGAGGTTTTTGTGAAAATAATCAACGTCAATAAATTATTTCTAAATCGACGACGAAGAGAAATACAAAGTTTATCAAATTGCTTATATCATTTTTAATAAGTTTAATGAATGGTCATAATTGCTCGATCGAAATTCTTGAAAATAGCGATACACTAATGTGATCAACTTTTTAACTCTAATAGCCGATTTTTTTTCTTGCAAATTCAATTAGCAGATTCAATTTGTTAATTACAAAAAATGAAGAAAAAAAAAAAGAACCAATGCAAAAGGTAGAGAATTTGAAGTCTTTAAAATGGTTGGTTAAAGAAGAAGAGGATTGGTACATGAGTGTGGGGTTATGAATTAAGAGATTAGTGTTGAATTAAATTAATTTTTAGTTATTTAGTGAATGCATGCCAAGTGTCAAGAATATAGGTACAAATTTATTTATTTTTCAAATAAAAATAAAATTAAAATTAAAAAGAAAAATCCATTCACGTGCTCAATAGCAGTGAGATACACTTACTTTGCTACATCAAAATTTGTGTTAATTAATAGGTACGTGATTTGAACAATTTAAGTGTTCAATAAGTACAAGTGTTAGTTGAAATGTCTAAGTAAATTATGTGGACAATTTTAAAGGTTCATGAATAACTTAAGCCAATTATTTATGAGTCGTTGATGAAAAATGATATTAACTAAACAGTTTATGACACCATTAACCATGGCTCATGGAATCTTGAGAGTATCACTAGCTAGTTTCATTCCTTGAGAATTAGCAAATAGTATACACGCTCTACATATTCCCAAAAACTGGAATCCCAAAGATAATATCACATGGTCTATCACTACACATGCTGACTTAACTACAAAATTGGCCTATAATTTTATGGGTAATGTTAAATGGTCAGAAAATTTGGTCAGAATTTAATCAAAAATTTAAAAAATTTATAATTTTTTTTTTATTTTAAAATAAATTGATCTTTTTTTTCTTTTTTTAATTAAAAGATAATAAAATTAAAAGGCTAAAGATATTCAAAAAGGTAAAATAACACAAGTAAAATATCATTCTGGCCAAATTTGATCATATCTCAAGCAACTTTAAGTGGGTTTGGAAACTTAGATGCCCAAGAAAAATAAAAGACATTTTCTAGCTTTGAAACCATAATCGTCTACCAACATATCACTACCTCAACTCTATATATAATACTCCCTCTGTCCCTAATTACTTATCCACTTTTCTTTTTGTAGTTGTCCCTAATTACTTGTTGATTTTGACAAATCAAGAAAGTACAATTTTTTTTTACCTATTATACCCTCAATTAATTACTTTGAAAAGGTAGAACTTTTTGAAAATTTTAAATTTTAAATTTTAATTCATCCACTTCATAATTAATAAAGGTAACATGGTAAACTCACTATGTCAATAATTATTTTCTTAGTAGGTTTTCCAATTCAAAAATGGACAAGTAATTAGAGACAGATGGAGTATATAAGAAGAATTATTGTTGAGCCTTTTTGCAAATTGTGTAAATGCCCATAAATTTCCAAACACATATTTCTTCAATGCAGTACAAACGTAAACGTTGGGGTAAACTTGGCATGACAAATAAAATTACTGTAATAAAATTAATAACTATAATGCTCATGATTGGATTAACAAATGCATGAAACTATCTAAAGCTAAGATGAACATCTCAATCCATTGGGAAGATGCTTTTCTTTTTTATTTGTGGAACATTTAGTTAACACGAAACCACATGTAGCTACTTCTCTTTGTAATGATGCATAATATATTATAATAAATAAAGTCCCTTTTAACCCAAAAAAATATAGTAGACAAGCTACCTACTACTTGGAAGAAACGATTGTTGAAATTGGTGCTAATTCATCAAAACTGTCTCTAAAAGTTTTGTACTTTTGAACTGTTTTGGCTACCTCGTGGAATTGAAGTTAAGCATTCCTTGTAAACTATAATACTCAAACTTGCGAGAAAACCATGTAAAATATGTTCCTTTTCTTCATTGGAATTAATATCATATGAAATAACATGTCCATTTTTGCTTTCAAAAAGCAATATATTATTCTTCCAAACAGCTAGCGGTGATTCAACAGGAACAACTCTGATTGTGTTTTTCAATATCCATGACTTGCTTACACCGTACTCCTCCATCACCCAAACATGCACTTTATCTTTTATTGGATCAATAGGAGACATTGGGTTAGGGTAACAAATCAATGTCAGACACTCCCTTAATATTACGAGACCATAATATTGCTCATTGGTTAGAACATTACAAACCTCAGGCATTTTTATAATACGAAAAATCTCAGTGCACATGTCAAAACAAAGAATAACCATCGAAATATCTGTAGTTGCAAACCAATGAACCACTTCCTTGTATAACATCTCAGAACAAGGTAACCAATAAATCAATGGCAAATTTACATGCTCCACTTCTCTCCAACAATCCATGCTAAAATCATAAACATCAATTTTACTTTCTTTTGGACCAGGATAATCATCCCAAGGATTCCAAAATACTTCAGAAATCCTAACAATTTTATAGTATTTTGCAATGGAGTCGAAGCCAAATCCAATCCCTTCAACGGAACGATGAAAACCTTGTGGACAACCAAAAGGGCTAGGTGGGATCAATCTGAAATTTCTAGTTGCTGGATTGAATAAGATTATGGTTGTCAAATCTGTTAATACAATCAAACCATGACAAGGACCAACAAGTGGATAAAAAGTACAATTAAAATTGGAGGACATATATGTTATGTTTATATCTGGAAAAAGAGGGTTAAAAGCATCATCATCACCAGAAAGAAAAGACAAAACATTTATAAATCCATTTGGTGCTTCTTTGATGGAATGCTTGAAGAGAATGAATTCATGTTCTATGGTTGTTTGATAGTTGAGATGAAGATGTATAAATGTGGTGGATTGTATGAGAGCGTACCAACTTTTAGAGATGCATTTTAATCGTACAAGGGATTTTACTGGAAACCTTACTAGTATATTACTGACCAAATCCTCCGGCAATTTCTTTATTATTCCATTCACCATTGATCCTTTATTCTCATGAATACGCACTGAATTGCATTGTTCTTAATGGTGATTGATTGTATAGTAACAACTTTAGTGCCTTGAAAGAGGATTTTTCATCACATGTTTAGCTCTTTAACGAACAAAGTTTTCAACGTCCAATTTTGTGATTTAGAGTGTTCCACGGAGAAAAACTAAAACAAATTTAGAGGTATAATAACAATATATGAAAGTTCCATTTACTATTATATATCATACAACTCTTTCAAAATAAGCACACCATAAGATGTTACTCCCTCTGGCCTCTAGCTGTTTAAATTTATGTAACTAGTTATTATGTGGAGAGCCAAATTGACACCTTCTTTAATCATAATTGTTGTAAATTCTTTTTAAATAATTTGAATTGTTAAATATGGTACAGGTCCTTAATACATTTTACGTAGTTTCTAAAACTGAAAATCTTATTTCAGAAATACTAAAGACACCATATCCAAATTCACATACAAATTTTACTAGTTTGATCCAAGTAAGATGCTACACATAAATTGAAATAGAAAAAAGTATGTGATTATTGTTCCTCCTGTTGTTAAAAAATGTTGGACAGATCAGATATTTCAAATGGGACAAATCGTAGAAAGTTATCGTCAATTTTTTTTTTACCCCAGATACGACTACATCATTTATTTGTTCTGAAAATTTAATAGGATATGGATTCATATTTCTTTTGGATTAAATATTTGCATCCAAAATTTGTAGAATCAAATTGTACTCATGTAAATTTTGGTTGCTTTTATATTCATAAACTAATTTGGACTATTCATGATCGTTGGAAAATGTTATTGGGAGGGGTCCATCACTAAGGGTTAATTAGTTTATTAGTTCATTAGTTCATAGCTTATCCTCCTCCTAAACCTTACCTATAATGTGTAAGCACGCCATTATGAATGTAGAAAAATGAGTGCTTTTTCTTTTCCAAAACTTATCAATAATTGTTCATTTTTTTGTGACAAAAATTACATGCAAACAAAAAAAAAATTCCCCTTGAGATGTCCTCCAAAATATGAGTTGATGCCATTTATTAACTACTTTTGGTGTGGCATTTTAATATTAATAAAATGTATCATATGTCACATTATGCATCATGTTATGTCCATTGGTGGACATTATATATATTGTGCCTCTTTACTATCATCAATTATGTAATAGTTGTTAGTAATTTATGTAACCACCAACTCTTAATTTCACCCATTATTCAACCTAATTATTCTTGTAACTTCTGTAACCTGCCATTCATTTGCCCAATTTACTACCCACTATCTTCCTATTTATTGCAAGGAAGAATTCCTCATCTATAAATAGTGTATGTGGTCGTACTTTGTGTTGATGAGAACAAGAGAAGTACAAGAAAATATAGAGCGAAAAAGATGAGTAGTATTGTATTGTGTCTATCAAGATTAGTGTAGTGAAAGAGAGAGTTGAGACTTTAAAAAAATATTCTAAGTCTTCAATTATATTCACTATGTAAAAGAGAGGATTTATATGTTGAGGGAAGATGTTCTTATGTGGAGCTTTGGACTCTTCAACTAATCCGGAGTTGCTTGAGTTGTACGACGTTGTTGGGCTGTTGTATAATGAAGGAGACAAGTCAAGAGATATTGTCACGCCCCGTTTTTCGCAAAACGGGTTTTGGTGCACGACCTAACAACTCTTTTGGGCTTTGGGTGATGAAGAGTCGTCACCTAACGAATTAAGGCGCGTTAGGGCACCTATCTAGCCTAGCTAATTCTAACTAAGGTCTACGGACCAGAGATCAGGGTAAGAATTCAAATTACCTCAAGGGGAAGGTGTTAGGCATCCCTCGAGGTCCACAAATGTGGGTCCCGACCGTGTCTCATGCAGTATGTGAGGGTTACAAATAGCAAGTATGGTCACTTCATTTATTATTTATTTGATTAACATGATTGCTAGGTGATAATTAATATTAACTAATTAAGATCAATTTATTTACTATTATTTAATTAAACATGCGAAACTAAGTGATGACAATAAATACATATATTGAGCATGAAACAATTTATAGAGGATAAGCGAGAAGACAGAACTTACACAATCGAATAGGATAATCAAATTTATTTTTTATTAAAACTACCCCAAATAAATATAATTATTATAAACATATGAAAGGGAGAAGGAAAGGGAGACTCTCTGAAAGACTTTAGGATCAGCACTCAACTTTCTTTATTTCGGTCGATTTCTCGTAGGGACAAACAAAACCAAAGTTTGTCATTTAGACCGAGTCAATGTCATCATCTCCATAGGGCCTAAACTACCCCTACCCCACCACCGCATGCCTTTCGTCTCTACAAGGCGTCTAGCGTACCCACGTAAGGTCCAAAAGGCATTGGACTGCTATTAGGGTGAATTTAGACAAAAATAAAATATAATAGGCCCACCTAGACACCAAGTCAAACAATTTGGACAAGCATTTAGCACGTAGGGTCTCATATTGGCCTCTAGATTTTAATTTAAACATGCTAGCAAACACACATAAAGTGAAAGGTCTTAGGCTTAGTGTGTGGGCATATAAACAAGCATTATAGTAGTAAAATTATTTAATTGAGAATGACATGAATTGTTACAGACAAACAGATGTTAATTACAAACTGATTTTAAAAGGCAGAAATTTATAACATTTTTTTTTATTTATTGATTTTAGAGTAAAGCAGAAAAGTGATCATACATGCAGGAATACTTTAATACAGTAGCAGATTATTTTACAAAATTTATCTCAACATGGCAGATTTAAAACATGCAGGGAATGATTTATTAGTTAATTTAGTGATTAGCAGATAGATCACAAAATACAAGAAGTGTATATATACTTATTTATTTTTACAAAAAGCAATTAGCGGATTAGAATGAATTATTAGCATTTTTTAATAGTAAAACCAAGCTGGACCTAATTGAATTGAGCCAGATTAAATCTAGGAAGCAAATTATAATTTAAACACATAACAAAATTTTACTCATTTTTTATTTATAGATGTACTGATTGACATCTCAACTTACTAATTATGTCCTATAAGCATGATTTCCAAGTGTGAGTATGCTGAAAATATTATCGAACCTATAGGCATAATTTCTATATAAGATAGAATAATATTCAAAAACCTATAGGCATGATTTCTAAATGGTTGAAAAATATTATAGCTCCTATAGGCATGATTTATAAATTTCATATAACATATAAAACAATTAACAAATTATTCCAACACGAAAATTCTAAATTAGGTACAAATTTAATTATTAGAAGATCCTATAAGCATGAATTCTATAACCAATTTATTGGAAGATTTACGATTTTTGAGAACACATAAATCATTTATTTAGTTATTTAAACATATAGATGTGGTTTCTAAGAAAAATGGCAGAAAATATATTTTAAATGAATTATGCCGAAGTTCACAATTTTATTCATTTTATATAAAAGAGACCAGTTTAATTGAATGGCACAAGGAGCATACATGTATCAATTTATAATTGTTAATAACTAAGAAGTTGGTTAAATGTCAATTCAAAAGCATATTATAACGAGCAATTAAGACAAGATTGCCTTTTGAACTATAAATAAGAGATTAAATAGATGATTAATTACAATATTATATTTTGTTTTATCATTTGTTTTATGCTAAATGTCAATAATATATGTTCAGATATGCAACAGGAAAACGACATATATTTAAATCAAAATTAAGAAGAAAAAAACCAATTAGTCTACACAGAGAAATATCAAAACAGTGAGCTAATGGGCGGACATAAACTATCAACATGCTTTCTAACACAACCAAATAGCAATAAAATAAACACGTAGCACGTAAATCCCCTCCCCCCTTAGACGATCCCCAAGTTATATTTTATATATATAGAGTTAGAGTTAGGAGTTTATACAAATTATTACAAGACAATAATAGAAATTAAATAACATATAAAACCCAAATTAAACAAATTTAGCTTGTCTAATGTTTTCCTTCAATGGCAACTCTTCAATATCTTGAACTTTGAGTTCAAAACCTGTTAACATGCAACAAAATAGGAGCAAGTAATGATAATACAAAAAAAAGACAATTTGATATAGCAAAATGGTAGAACTCCTGGGCACACACATAATGTTAACTAATTCATGTACACAAGCAGCGTATGGACATGTAAGAATCCCAACAAGTCGTGGAGAATATATAATCACATATTGAGAAAGAAAGGGATAAGGGAACTAAACCGGATGCTTCCTCTATTATTTCAAGTGTACATAAAATATGAACAATGCAAAATTAAACTAGTGAAAGGAAACTAACCAATTATGCAGAATTATTTATCAGCAATGAAGATAAAACTTAATCAGATACTGGACCCAAACACAGCAAAACAGCAACACAGAGAGGAACCTTTATGTTTACCGGAAAAGCTTAAATATTAAAGTGAGCAATCTATTTTTATTCAAGTAAGAGCAATGTAGATGTCTGAGTGGTATGAGAGTATTCCGTGTGTAAGAGTGAGTGGAAAAGTCTAATTTATATAGTAAAAGAGGGGCATAAAATATAAGGAAAAGAATAATTCAAGAGCCAATTATAACATGCTTTCCTTAAACGAAAGGAGTATAAAAATCAGTCCCATATTTATTTATTCTTTTACCAAATATAAACAAGTAAGAAATCTAGTTAAGCTTAATTAAGGTGAGAAATATTCACTACCATATACTTTCCTTGTTAAGAAGGAAGTCAAAAAAATCAGATTTTAATTAATTTATTATTTTACCAAGTATGGAGCAAAACTAAAATTAGCGAAAATATTCACTACCGTTAAGGATTTCTAAAAATGGATTAGTAGGAATCAATTCAAACCATAATTAAGGGGAGGAGAAAACACTTTGCAGCACTATAACTTAATGAATATAAAATTAGCACAAGGAAAGGAATAATACATGCTTTAATCCATAATTTCCGACTTACCATAGGCAAAGGGGC